TTCTTTTTTTCATCCCCCTCATGCACTCCGTTCTTTGAACGGGAGGCGGGACTTAGCGATACGGTCGATCCGGCAAGGGAACCTGTGATAGTGCAGGGCACCCCTTGTCCGGGGGTCACCGGTAGGTGGCAACTTTCTTAGACATAACTATAGTCACAGGTAACCTGAGTGCAGAACCCTACGAGCCTGACGCCCGTCCAAGAGGGGGGGGCGGGGTCACTGCTCCCAGGCAGGAGCCCTGTGTTATAGGTAGGATTAGATGTAATCAAGAAGATGACAACAAGCATTAGAATAAAACATAGAGATAAGGGACACTCTATTGGAAGGGGAAAAGTGGCAGAAATCACTTACAACAAATTGCAAGTCCCACTAACAAGAATATTCAGCACCAATGAAGGTTTTAAAGTAATCTGTAAAGATGACTTTGATTCAGATAAAATCCTTTCAAAAGAAGCCAGAGATATATTTTACAATGAAGGCCTTGTTGTTGTCATGCCACCAGAACAAAAAGCAAAAAGATCAGTTTTCGTTCGTCAAGTCGACCAAGAGATCGGGAGGAAGACATCTGAAGACCTGAAAGATGAACTGGAACGCCAAAACAGGTGGATGAAGATTGAAGAAGTCATTAAGATAAAAGACTATACTCATGTTTTTAAGATTACTTTTGAAGAAGTGTCAATGGCTGAGAAAGTTTTACAACAGGGCTTTCTAATATTCAACATGTCAGTCACACCACATCAAATAAAGAAGGAGACATTCATCAGTCTGCAAACTTGCTTCTCCTGCTACAAATATGAAGAACACACAACGAGAGACTGTCCGGAAAAAGAAAAAAAGTACTGCTCAGATTGTGCAGGCGACGACCATACCTACACTGAATGTAAGAATACACATGTTGGCTGTCTCAACTGTAAGAGAAACGGGAATGCATACATAGGACATAGGACGTTAGCAATGGCATGCCCAATAAAAAAACACATGATAAAGTACAAGGAACAAGAAACAAGGAAAAAGGAACAAGACAAGAAGGATACGACATACGTCGAAATAGCCAAGAGAGCGGTCCAAGAGGCTCATAGACCAGAATCCACCATATTAAACCTAAGTGAGCCAATACATGATAAGGTAATGATTAGTATGATCCATGCACATTTGCACAATATCATTGCACCCGGATCATACAATGAGGAATTAAGGAAAATGTTTAAATTGAATAGCCTACCAGAGATGATATTTCCAGAGAATCCACAATCCGAAAAACTATTTCAGGCAACATATGCAAGCGAACTGAGAGAAAGACTACAGCTAGACAAACAAAGGTTTGAGCAAGGAGCAACAGCTGATACACAAGGAACACAAGCGACTGATAGAGATCCCAGACAAATGACTAGAAGTGACAAAGAGAAGATAGAAATAACAAAAGGACAGACTATAAGACAAAGGAGTAGGAGGAGAGAAGATAAGATGGAAACTGAACACAATATACAACCTGAATCTGCTGAAGATATTGGATTAAAAGTTATCACTACAACAAAACATGGAATCCCAACATCGAGACCAACAGGAGGGACAATAGTAAAAAACTGTGAAGGAGGGATATACAAGTGGACATATCAAGAAAAATCCCTAAGTGAAGATTATGTCTGGTCACTAATTACTACGGACAAACTAAAGATTACGACCAATGACTTTAAAATAGTAGACCCGTCAGAGTTTAGAAGAGTCAGAAGCGGGAAACAGGATGATAGGTCTCCACTTCAACAGTCACAATCCAAGTATAAGAAATAATGGACAATAGACAAACAGTAAGAACTTTAAGAATAATACAACACAACGTAAGAAACTGGAAGACCGAGAGAATTAACCTAAGTAATATATATCAAGAAATTGACCCTGACATTATACTAATAAACAGTCACGGTGAGACAGAAAACAACAACATAAAACTCTTTAACTATTATGTAAACCAAAGAAATAAATCGGGCGAGAAAAATGACGGAGTAGCTATAGCGGTTAAAAGAAACTTAAAATTTAAACTAATCGATGACTTCCAGGATGAATTTCTAGCAATAAAAATAAATACAACTCAAGGAGACGTAATTATTGCTACTACTTATCTGCCACCGAGACGACCCTACTTACCTATAGAAGACCTATTAAAATTGGCTAACAATAGTCATCCGATGTACATCTTAGGAGACTTTAACGCCAGACATAGGATTTTTGACAATACAAATAATAACGTCGTGGAAACGCCCTTAATCAATTAATAAATTTAGGGAAAATCAATCATCTGGGTCCTAACTTTCCAACCTGGAGAAATCACAATACACAATCGACACCAGACAAAATTTTTACCAACAACAAAGCCTTTTTCAATTACCATATAATACAGGGACCTCTTACAGCAGTGACCATCTGCCAATTATACTAACACTGTCAACAAGCCCCATACAGATACCAATAAAAAAGAGACTGAAAATGAGTAAAACAGACTGGGACAGCTTCAAAGACGACTTAAGTAATCACCACTCGATTAACCTACAAGGGAAAACAACAGAAGATATAGACTCAGAAATGGACAGACTGCACTCAGCAATAAAACATCTATAACCAAACACACTCCTACTTCACACTTTAGAACATTACCCAACAACAGACTACCAGAAGAAGTTAAATTAATCCAAACCCATTACAATGAAATAAACAGGTATATGGAAAGACACGGCAGTAACAGATGGCTATATACGACACAGATAGCACTACAGATAAAATTAAGAGACGCATGTAAGGAAGCAAACAATAAAAAATGGAATGATATTATAATGGCGGCTGACATGACTAAAGACACAAAAACATTTTGGACTTCCATAAACAAGATGATGGGGCACAACAAGCAAAAAACACCATACATTAAAGACCAAAATGGAACAAAATTGCACGAGGAAAATGAACAAGAGTCAGCATTCAAAAGGAATGGGTAAAAGTTTTTAAAATATCAGATGAGGAAAATGGAGATTTTTGATAGTGAACACGAAGAAAGGATAGAAGAAGAAATGGGAAGACAAATACATAGAATCACCCCAAGGCAATATATAGACTATAACTTATTACCTAATAATCAAATAATAACCATGGGAGAAATGATGCACTGTCTGAGGAAATTTAAGGAAAAAGCCCCTGGGCTCACAGGTATTACACGAAATATGATCATGAATCTACCTGAAAACATTTTAAATACACTATTAAACATTTATAACGCATGCTTAATAACTGGTTACTTTCCAGACAAACTAAAATATGCTAAAATGATATTTATTCCTAAGGAGGGTAAGGACAATAAGGAAATATTAAACTACAGGCCAATATCTTTATTAGAAATTACCGGGAAACTATTGGAAAAAATATTAAATTCAAGACTTATAGCCTTTTTAACACAACATGGGAAAACTAACAACAGACAACATGGATTTATGCCCAATAGAAATACCCTAACTGCAATAGCTACAATAACGGAAATAATTGCAATAGAAAAAAGCAAGGGTAACCAGATCAATATAATTTTAAGGGATGTTTCTAAGGCTTTTGATAAAGTTTGGCATTTAGGCTTGAAATATAAAATATTAAAACTGGGACTTAACGAATACTTGCTAAGAATATTGTGTAACTATTTAGATGATAGGAGAGCACAAATTCAAATTGGAAACTTTATGGGAACTATGTTTAATCTTGAGAGTGGAGTACCTCAAGGAGGATGCCTTTCTCCAACACTATATACAATTTATACTTCAGACACACCTCAACCTACCCCCTTTAGCGAATATGTAATGTTTGCTGATGATATTACTCAAATAGTATCATACCCAGGAAAATCAACTCAATTTATGGCACTCTACACGGTAAGAGCGATAAAAAACATAAATGATTTTGAGAAAAAATGGAAAATCAGGACAAATAAGAACAAATTCAAGATAATACCAATAGCCAAGATTAAAACAAGTCCAGTAATAGTCGACCAGGAACTATACCCATACGACACTGAAGGCAGGATGCTTGGATTAAAACTAACAAAAAGAGGATATATAACATACTTAAAAGATAAAGAACGACAGGCAAGAATAAGATTATCAAAAATAAAACGCTTTAAGAACCTTAGCATTAATAACAAAAGAAAGATTTATATTGCCCTTGTCAAATCAATTATGGACTACCCACCCATCCCATTGAACACCCTTAGTAAAACGTGCATTAAAAGGTTACAAACAGTACAAAATATAGCCCTCAGATTTATATATAACATAAAATATACAGACCACATCAATAATGAACAGCTACACAAGAGAGCAAACCTCTTAGCAATCAATGTAGATATACACAACAAAGCTGTAAATATTTGGAAAAAAGTGACTGAACTTAACACAGAAACATATCAAAACTGGATAAATAATATAGACAACGAAGAATTCCAAGAACACAGTTGGTTTAAATCAGCCAGGAAGAAAGTAATTTAACCATCTCCTGCCCCAATATACATATAAAACCTTAATAGAGAGAATAAAAGATGAGTGACCTACCAGCTCCATTAAGAACCTGGCAGGCCTCTCCATACAGTGTACCTTTAGACTAATACAACTAACAAAAAAAAAAAAAAAAAAAAAAAAAAAAAAAAAAAAAAAAAAAAAAAAAAAATGTGACTACCCTCCCAGCTACACAAGGACCTGGGCGGGCTCACTAACTCCAAAAATAATAAAAATAATAATAATAAGCAGCATTATATAAATAAACCAATATTAATACAAAGGTCTGACGACCCAAGGGAGCAGAACAAAGACAAAACACCAATAAGAAAGATGAAGCGATCTGGTTGAGCCCAGATTCTTTCTACTCCTACTGTATTTCAGTTTCACCACTTTTCCTTCAACCCCTAATAATCTTCTTTCACCTCTTAACTAAAGACTTCGTATCGTATCGTATCGTATCGTATACTTCACAGGTCTTACCAAAGATACAGAAGGCGTCGGCAGCTAACACACACAAGCTCGTCTGGCAGACTTCAGCTACTCTGGAGGACTGGTCCAGCCTCTCCCGTCTAGTGTTTGAGTTAACGTATGGGACTGAAGTGTACCTTGCATTATCTCCATTATGATAAGCATTAGTCTGTGATAAGAAAGTGGGCCAGTGAGACATGTCTGCCCGTATTCTAGGCCTTCGGCACGCAAGGAGGCAGCATAGCCGGAACTGCACTAGATCGCCTTCACTTCCCCAAGTGTAAACTTAGGTACCAATTTACAGCTGGGAAATTTGTAGTGCCTGGGAATGAAATCACCGACCCATGGAACAGCGTGAGAGTACTGTAACCATTTTCTGACGTGCTCCCACTCGACTCGCGTTCCTTAAAAGAAAAAAAGGTGATATTTTAATTCGTCCTTCTTCGATCTTTATACAAGACTTTGATTTTATCGGATTTTCCTGCATTTAACCTCTTCGCTTAGTTTATCATCAGTGTGAAAAAGTTACCCCGGTTTACGCACACACACAATATAAATAAGTATCATCATATTAAGAAATGATATACAGAAACAAATAGTGGGCTCATATAATATTGATGGTTAAACAAGGAAGGTGGTGGAAAGAGTGCATCTCCAAGGTGCCATTAGCAAACCTGTGTGCGTCTTTATTGTGTGTGAGTGTGTGTGTGTAACCGAAATGTATATACTGTAGTATGATTTTGGTCCACAACAAATGTATTGTCAACTTTTAAAGCCCTGAATTATTTCATATTCAGGGTTAGTCTTTAATATGAGAAAATTTATCCATTTTGCAGTGATAGATAATTGACTTGTTTAATACACTCACACTGACATACAGATATCGTCTACAGCCAAGTTCCGTCAACCCTTAACCCGTGAAATAAACTCATAATAAACTCTGTTGAAGGTGTTCTGTGTCACCAGTTAACCTCGCTTGAGGACTAAATGTTGAATTGAACATCAAATAGTGATGATGCCTTTTTCCAGCAATTAATCTTTGCCTGGCCCCGAAAAAGTAGATCTAAATATAAACATTGCCCAACAACAGTTATACTTGGAGACACAAAAGCCTTCTGAAGTATAAATGATGATGGTCTGCCCAAACTCCAGATAATCTCTCCAAAATTGTATGGTTAGTTATACTGCCTGGTTTGGGGTGAATAAACAGAGCACAACAGACCAACAGCACAGATGATGATAATAGTCGCTGTCCAAACTTTACAGAGAGGTATAAAAGTCAGGTAGTAGGTATTAGGCAGCTATCAAACAGGGAAGTACAACCGCCTGGGAAGATATTGAAAGCATAACGTGTTGTCTATGGTAGACCCTGCTGCCACATGGCTTCACGAAAGTTGTGACCAAGTCCCAGGTTGCTCAACTGACTTTCTGCCTCATTTACACACAATTGCAGGGTCTCAATTGTTTCTCTTAATATTGACAACACAACATACATATATTGTTTCTCACTTTTGATTTTCACTTGTATTTCTTTATGGTTCTTTATTTTTATTATTATCATTATTACATTTTCGTTCCCTAGGTCCCGATGTGGGTCAGTGACCTGTGCCTGGGTGGGCTAATCCATGTAAAAAAAAAAAAAATAAGTAATGGTATACTGTACAACGGAATATACCTACACAGTTTCATGATAATCAAAGACAAAATTTAAGAATTGATGATTGAGTGTTGCTGATATAAAAATAAATAACTAAAGGGAAGACTGCATAATGATGTATCATACAGACTATTACGAACCAACAGAAGATACCGATGAAATTCAACGTAACCATTACTCAACCTTAGCTAACTTATTTGAAATAAATTCAATGATTTTTAGAATAGGATAAGCTTCTTTGCTACACAACAGGTTAGAATCGACTAAGATACTGGTCTCATGATTGAGCTTACCACAGACTTGGGGCGACGAGATCCATACAACGACAAAATACACCTGAATGTTTAGTCATATGAGTGAACTTTTATCGCCTTACTGGGTACACTCAATGATTTCAAGTTGATAAAAAGATGGTCCTAGATTCGCAAAAAGAAGGTTTATTATGTTATGAGACTCGCCGACTGATTTCGGGGTTATCATTATCTTATCATATATAAAAAAATCCATCAGGTTCTGCTCGACACAACACGTCTTTAATAGCTCTTGTACTGGGCGAATATTGGGGGTTAAAATGTTGATGATTCTAATTTATAATGTGTGTGTGCGTAAACCGAGGTAACTTTTTTCACACTGATGGTAAACGAAGTGATGAGGTTAAATGCAGTAAAATCCGATAAAATCAAAGCCTTGTATAAAGGTCGAACAACAACAAATTAAAAAAAAACACCTATATTTCTTTTAAGGAACGGGAGTCGAGTGGGAGCGCGGCAGATAAGTGGTTACAGTACTCTCACGCTGTTCCATGGGTCGGTGATTTCATTCCCGGGCACTACCAATTTCTCAGCTGTAAATCGGTACCTAAGTTTACACTTGGGGAAGTCAAGGCGATCTAGTGCAGTTCCGGCTATGCTGCCTCCTTATGTACCGAAGGCCTAGTATACGGGCAGACATGTCTCTAGGGCCCCTTTCTTATCACAGACTAATGCTTATCATAATGGTGATAATACAAGGTACACTTATGTCCCATACGTTAACTCAAACACTACACGGGAGAGGCTGGACCAGTCCTCCAGAGTAGCTGAAGTCTGCCAGACGAGCTTGTGTGTGTTAGCTGCCGACGCCTTCTGTATCTTTGGTAAGACCTGTGAAGTATACTGAAGTGATGGTGTTAATTAACCCCCTGTACTGAAGGTTTTCTCTCAGCTGAATATAATCATCTGGCAGTAGCAAAAAAAAGTTATTAACTGGAGTGATAAGCCTTTACAGTTTCTTCAGAAAAGTACGACCACAAGTTAACCAATACATTCAGTCAAAAGATAAATCACGAAAGAGAAGACATACATCACTTAAAAGACATCTACTGGTCTATACTGTATATCAAAATGTTTTCAACACATAAATTTTCCATGTTCTTACCTTTTATTCTCAGTTACTGTATATTGATAGAAATTACCATTGCGAGTGTTCATATATTTTACCACTACGACATAATAGCCCTGACTGTTTATTGTTCTGTTGTTTCACTTTAACATAACCAGCGTTGTATTGTTACCATTCATTTATTAGATTACTATAACTGTACCAATACCTCTATACTAGTGAAAAACCCCAAATAAAACATTAACATTAAAAATTATCTTATACTACAATACAAACCTAACACACAGAGGTTCATTTTATGGTTTGTTACTTGTGATGCACATATCTGAAAACAACTCCCAATGGACGAGTTGTTGGTTCTGAGAAAACACAAGAAATACACTCTGCCACGTTCGTAGAGTGATACGGTATATATAATTTGTAATAAAAGTTTACAGTCCTGCTATAATAGTCGAGATAAGTTTATTTCTCTAGAAACAGGGTCGCCATTTGCAATGACGACACCAGTTTCAGACGGCGTTCTCCAACAAACTCACCGTTGCAGCCGGAGGTAGTAGAAACGATCGCCTCTTCAGATCCTAAATGCCACATTCAGGTAAGTTTTAAGGGTGTTTTTTTTAATGGTCTAAGTCATGGACATTTGGTAAGTGAAGAAATGTGCCGTGGACATAAAAAACTCCCATGTTCACAGCTGTCATGTACAAGTATTCTTACCTGGTAGACTTTCCCTTTTTTCCAGTGCATTTATAGAGTATATCAGTACTAGATGGAAATACGAGTCAATTTAGAAGTAATGACATCGTCTGGACTTTGTGTTGTGAATGCATTGGGATATATCACCATTTATATTAACTAATGAGTAAAATTTTACTTTAACTACCATAAGTATTTGGATGTTTAGATTCGAGATACTGTAGGTTATATTGGGTAAATTTTAAGTTTTAGTCATCCCTTTACTTAGATATGAAGACTATGTTTTTTCTGATGGTTTACGATGTGTTATAAACGATTTTTTCCTTCATTTCTATCGGAAATGACTAGTTTTGAGTTAACCCCCCCTCCCCCTCCCTTATCGGTGTATGTTAAGCTAATCTTATGACTTATAATATAACTCATCCTACCCTAACCTAACCTAACCTAACATATGACCTGTATTTTCTTATGCGATCTAAAAAGATGCGAACGGGATGTGTGTGTTTAGCCTTGAGTACGTTGTGCAAACGATTATCTGTCCGAGTTAAGTGTTAATCTTGGCGGCCATAAAGTGTTTGAAGGTAAAGTCGGTGATAAAATCGTGTTTGATGGAGGATCTGATAAGGATGGCTACGCCCTGGTATAGTTCGTGGGGTGATTGTCTGCATGTGTAGCCGAAGTGTTTGATCTTGGTGTTTGTGCATGTTGAGTTGAGGAGGAGAATGTCTGGGTTGCGTTGTCGGAGGAGGAGAGAGATAATGTGTTTGTTTGCAAGGTATGCTCTGCAGCTGAATTGCATTATGGTGATCATGTCTGTGCTTGTGTGTCTTGTTTGTGGTTTGTTTCTTAGATGTGGTTCTGGGGTGAGGGGGTGTTGCGTGGGGTCTCGAGTGAGTGAGAACGTGTTCTGTATGAGATGTATTTAATGTACTATGTAGGTGAGGGTTGGGGGATGACGTGGATGGGTGTGGGGGAGTAATGGGTGGGGAGAGTGTGGCCGGGGGCCATGTCGGGGTTGTTTGGGTCAGGGTTTATTAGTTTCCTGAATATCACTTTAGTTGTCGATTTTTTGTGGTTGTGGGGCGAGGAGTTCTTCCTCTTTGTTTGGCTCTGTGTTAGGTTTGTTGAGGGTTGAGGTGTCTGTGGTGCAGGGGCAGGTGAGTGGTTGGTCTGGGTGGCGGTAGGAGCAGTGGTGTCTCTAGTCTGGGTGGCGGAGGGTGTGGTAATGGTGGTCAGGTGACAGAGGTCAGGTGTGGGCATGGTTGAGTTGGAGGGGCATGAGTTGTTAACTGTTACCTTGTGGGGTGGAAGGGGCATGGTGGTCGATGGGTGGGGGTTGATGGGAGCCCTGGGGAAGGTGAGTGCGGGTCCGGTTTCGTAGGTATCAGGTATGTGTATGGTCGGTAGGCCGTTGGCCTTTAGTTCCTCAGTCACAAGGTTTAGGAACTGCGACCTGTTCCCTTTGCTTAGGATGTGTGATAGTAGTATGATGGTAGTGATTTTAGCGTCAGTGTCGGGGGAGGGGCGGTCAGGTTGTTGTTTTTTTTTTTTCTTAGAAAGAAGAGGTGAAAGAAGATTAGAGGTGGGGGAAGGAAGTTATAGTTCGGAAATTGAAGAAGTTTAGGAGGAGGTAAGAGAGGGCGGATTGACCGCCTAGCTAAGCTCATAGTGTGTTCGGGTTGTGTCATGGGTTAGTTATTGTCTGTCGGTACAGGCACTAGACATCCTACCCTATCCCATACATGGGTGTTTTAAGGGCCTTATTTCATATTCCGCCGACCCTACTGGCAGATGTTGGTCTAGGGAGGTTGTCTATTGCCTGGCCGTGTAGATCGGGGGTGGTAATGTACCTTTTGAGATTTGGTAACTTTTTGGGAACCATGTATGGTTGCTGTCGTTATCTGGTGGGAGTCTTTGAAGGAGTTCTTGCTCTGATCGTTCTATCTTTTGCCAGATTCTGCTGGCCAGGGTGTGCAGCTGCTGGTTGATGGGTTTCATTCTCAGGTTTCTATGTATCTCGGCTGTGGTTCTGGTGAATCTTAGGGCTTCATTTTGAACCACCTGAAATTTTAATATTTGAGTGGTGCTCATAGTATGAAGAGGTATTGCTGGGTAAGTTAATATCGGTGTGATAAATGATGTCACCAGGCGGAGTTTTATTTTCTCAGGAAGAGCTTTAAAGCGGTATAGTTTTCTCAGCTCTCTTCTTGCTTTTTCCTTCCTGGTGTGGACGTGATGGGAGTAACCTGTCGTGGGTATATGCAGGCCCAGGAGGGTCCCTCTGTTTTTGTATTCTATCTGGGCATTATTGGTTACAGAGGTATCCAGGTGAATCGGCAGGCTCTGCTCACCCTTTGTCCTGCACACAAGCACGCTCTGAGCGAGGTGTGGGGACAGGGCGCTTCTAAACAAATACTCTCCTGTGCGTCAACTGACAGAGGAGTAGGTCCTTTCACGGCAGCAAAAGAGAAAAAATGAGTGGTAGGGAAAGGTCTGATAACTCACGAATGGTCGCTCGTCTCACCAGGTCCCTCAGCAGTATTCGGCGTTCCTAAGGGAGGTCCGATACCGTGGGAGAGATCAACTATGTCAATCGAGCCAAACGATTTGTCGGTGTGTCTTTTCTCTGGGATTGAGGTGTTTTGCGAGGCACAGCAAGCAGAGGGGATTGGGACAGTGGAGGAGACGCCACTACTGCTGCTGTCTCTGGGGTCCCTGGAGTAGCTTCTTGTGCTCGGCTGCGTCCCTGGAGCGGTTGCTTGTACCTCTGCTTCGGCTGGCGGCTGTGTGTCGTCTGTGTGCTCGTCTATTATCACCTGAAGAATTACTATATTTACTTTCTGAAGGAAACAAAACTGTTGTGCATAATCCAGCATCATTAGTAAACTTATCACCCCAGAGGAACAACCATAAATAACAGCAAAATTGTCTTTACGTATTTGGTAATTTTTCCAAAACAATCATCGAATAGATAATAATTAAAACTCACTAAACTCACATGAAGAAAAATCATCAATTTCTGTCTCAACTCTGGAAGTTCAGAATTGTTCCCTTATGTATTAAAGTACCTAATCACTTTCTTGTCAACTTCATCAATAAATACACCTGGAAAAAATACTGTACTTGTATAATATGGACACGAAGTAGTACCTTAAGCTGTGTATCCTTATATTATTCTATTAATTATGTATAGTAAAGTATAACAAAACATGTATTAATCCTATGTAATATTTCCATTTATTATGCACCATGTTATGCATATGAATTATCATATTTACATTTTATGTATTCAGCTTGTGAATGCTGGCATCTGTACATGCCAGCGCTCACTGATACAGAGAGTGAAGACCACCAGTCCTTATGGTGTGGAAGCGAGTTTCTTTGTCCATCTGTATTCATCTCCCGTACGAGAATAAGAACCTATTTTTAAGATAACAAGTGTTTGTGTATACTCTCAGTAGTGTAGAACATTTTGGGGGTACCAAAGACAAACATAGATGGCGCAGTGAGATTTCTCAGTGAGATTCAGAGGACCAAGCCTTCCCGCCCGGACTGTGTTAATGACGTCTCGTCTTCAGCTTCAAGGATTTACAGCCAGACTACAAGCCTCAGGACTTACAGTGTTGTGAAGTGCTATGCTGTGTACAGTGCTGTGAAGTGAAGTGTTTTGTGAAGTGCTGTGTTGTGTATTTTAATCAGAATTGTCTGTGCAAACTTCTGTCAGATGACTGAGGGAGCTTGTCCAGCAGTACGTGCACTCTCGTCGCCAGTCATATGGTAACTGACCTAGCGACTCTGCCCAGCTGCCACTACGCGCACCAAGCCTCCCGGCAACGAGCCATACACACGCACACACACACACGCACTCACTGGCCCACCTTATATTAAATTCTTGCGAATTACTTTAGACTTCTGTAATTCTGTGCATAGATTACGAGGGGTTGGCCCGGTCTTTTGCACAGATAGAGTACAGAAGCTGTCGGCATGTCTCACAGGGATCAAAATGATACCCTGGACGATGGGGTTATGAGTATAAGTCTGGGAGACCTCTCCCCACCCACA